CGGAGTCCCATATCTTCACAAACGCCATTCACGAACGCACTCGGGAACGCCCATTCATTAACTCGAGTCGTCTCCCTCCGAGGATCCTCCGTCCTCGGGAAAGTGGCCACGCACACTACGCAGCCGCGCGCACGCAACGACCTTTGAACCGCGGCGGGCGAGGCGCCTTCCGGTCGCTTGGTTTCCGGGACCCGGCGCGACGAAAGGGCGCGTACACCTGAGCTGTGCCTCACCATCTTCAACCCTGGAAAGTGTTCGTGAATGAATGAAGCACAGAGAGACGGATACGTGGGATAATCTGATGCCGAGTGACTGATTTTCAAGTGATTTACGGACAACAAATGACAGTGATAATGCGCTCGTACGTTATGGCTTGTGTCGTTAGTGTAAAAACGCGCGATTTCACTTGCTTATTCTTGTGAAATGTGAATTCGGCCGCTGTCTGGAGGAGAATTCTAGCAGCCGGCTGCTCACATTTGTAGTTTTACGTCGTTTCTCTGATCAACACCAGGCGAATGCCGGACCAGTACCCAAACAAACCGACCACAGACCGCCCGCGATCTTTCCTTCCACCTTCGTGTCTTGCCCTCTTCTCTTACATGTACACTTACTCTTCAAGGCACAACACTACCACAGATGTCGGGAACCCATTCAGAAACCAAAATTTTGTCTGCTTTGCAGGGAAGAGATACCTGTGTATATATATATCAGTAATAACGTAATCCTAGATTAACAACGGATGTATGTATACCTTGATATGTTCCTTCTCGTGTAATATCTCGTCATCATTGAATTATAGTTAATAAAGTAATTGAAGTTCCAATTGAAATAATAATTAATCTATATTGATGAAATATACTAATTATTACTGCTGCTATTGTTATAGCTCCAATAGCTCCTGTAATGGGTCATGGTCTGGCATATATATAATATCCTGCAACTCAACGTGTAGGTCTGCGTCGGATCTCACCATCCAGTGGGGGGGGGGACAGGCATCACCGCCACCTCCTGGGATAAAGCATTCACTACATAATGAGAATATTGACCACGGCAATGATGTGATCGTAAACACAAATAATAAATCAATCAAGTTACCATTACGTTCAAAATACAATTTACTATAACTTAAAATAAACTGATATTGCTGAATAACACATGTCTAACCCACATTCTTGGCAGAAAGGTTTACGGTTAATGAAGCATACAACTTTTACATTTTTTCCTCTTTGACCCTGCACTACACGCTACTTTCAATTGTTTCAACTGTGTTTTTAACTTGAAACTAAGTGATAATAATCGAAGACACACAAAGTGTATTTCCTGGGAGGGGGGAAATATAGGTGTAGTGTCCATCCGACTTCACATTTTCTTCTCAAAAATATTTAATTTTTACTAATTTTAAAATGTAATTTTATAATTTTTGTAGCGTCGTTCATAGCATGGTTTCTTCGATCAACACTTCTCTTGATTTTTCCTCTTCGAATCATTTGTTGTGGCAATATGTAATAAATTTAACATAAACATAATGAACAGAGATTGTAAATAATGGAATACTTTAGAAACAACAACCGAACGTAGAAACGGAAAACCTGAAATAATTATTTTCTTTTGGATCGAACTGATCATATCACTGTTATTCATTTCTTCCGTTCGAGAAATTGATAGTGCAATGAGATGGAATAGAAAGTATTCTCCATGTTCACAAAAAATAAATGAGCTAATGAAGTTGTAAACACGAAGAATTGTGCCATTTATTACACTAATTACACAGGGAAGATGTGAAAGGTAAGATCCGCCAACTACACACCTTGTAATTAAGTTTGCATTTCTATTACCAAGCAGGTACTCTTGTTTTGCTTTCTCATCGTTTACCCTCCAACTCACCACTGTTAATCAACGACATCAGTAAAAAAAATCACCACCTGGCTCAGAAACAGCTGAGGACATGAAAGATAAAATGAAAAGGACTTCGCTGGATATGTAAGGCGGAATGAAACAATTTTCTCTTCAATATATTACTTTACAATTCTCGTTTACTTAAGCGTCCCACCTACACAAGAAAAGTTCATACAAAAAAACGATATACGTACACTATTGAAATGGTTGAAGAAACACGAAGAATCCATAAAATCTTCTCTGAGATAAGACGTATTCTCGTGAACAGAATTCAGAAAATGAATATAGGTATTTTATATGTATAGCCTTTTTTACAAGTTTCTATAAAAAGCAATAAGAAATAAACAAAATTGACAAGTTATTTTTTTTCTTCATTGCACCAATTACACTAAACAAATCATAGTTCTTTGACAACTGAAAGTTTTCTAAACTGCTTCCAGAATAAGTCTCCAAGAATTCTACAAGAGAGACTACAAGAATCTTAAATTTGTCATTTGACAGTTCACGATAACAATCGTATGTATTAATAATGAATGATCTACCACTTTGATGTACACTTGGTTCACACACAATATACATCATCTACACAAAAAACGAACTTCAGATTAAAATCTTGCCAAAGCCGCAAGAATCCTCTTTTGGAACACGTATCCTCGAGAAAAGGAAACCGGCGAAGTACGTCAGCTAGAAGTTCTCCTCGGATAGTGAGTTTCAGCACAACGAAAAGGCGGTGGCAACGAAAATGTTCTTTTCAACCTATTCTTCGCAAGTCCCCCAAAAGAAGCTTCACGCCCACTCGCGTTCCACGGTGACGACGTCACAAAGAACCGCGGAGCCAGCACGCTCTCTCCCGCCCCGCCCCTGCTCAGCGGAGATGCGGAGACTCGCCGCTCCCGAAGGCGCCTGTGGGACAAGAAGGGGATCGGAGCGTCCCGCCCGCCACAAAAAGCCCTGTAAAATAAGCCATAGGCGTCTCGGAATCTCCCCTTTACAAGTTCATTAGCCTCCTTGCCGCCGAGGACGGCCCTCCGCCGGCACGGTCGCCGCTTGACGTCTTTTGTGGTCGGCGTGGCTCCCTGCGGTAGAAGACGCCTCCTGCACAAAAACGTTACTCTTCCACTATCTCATCCGACGCCCTCGGGGATTCTCTTGCTGCTGTGGTAGCATCGAGAACGGGCATTAAACGACTAAACAAATAAACAAACTCGCATTCCTCCAACTACCCGATCTTGCGGCCCCCAGATCTCCTCGACATGCCTGGAAAATAACCCAGTATGTGGCGGCGGCGGCTGCTGCGACGACGACAGGAGTGCCCCAGGGTGCAGGCCAACGTGACGTAATCTGCAGTTGCCTGTAAACGTCAAGGTAGCATCAAGACCCCACCCTCGGCACTCCCAGTAACACTGCAAGAGTGGAAGGATCCCGAAGGCCGCCGTGCCCGGGTAATGGAAGCTCGTTACGATGGTTTTACCTTACGAAATGAAGAAATAAATATTCAACAGCCCAGCCAGTAAGAGACATTAAAAATACTCCCCAACTCGTTACGCCCAAATTCGTGTATCCCAATCATGGGTCTGTTGTAAAGATAAACCGAGCAATGTAACCAATGGAACCTGTTAATTTACCACGATATGATAATTACTTCCCAGTAATTGTACTTCGTGAGTGAAATGATTCCCAACTAACCGCTAGGGGCGCTGTGGCATACTGCACAATAATATAGTGTGCTTCTTCGCCACTAGAGGGAACTGAGAGTTATGAGGGCGCCTACAGTCCTTGAAGAGCGATATTCGAAAGTCAGTTGGAATGGTACACTGCATCGTTTGTATATTCTATAAGGTTGAGTTTCAATACAAAAAGTACCTCTACGAATCCATGTGTGAAGATATATAACTAGTGGTGCTACAACAGCCTATACTTTCTAGCATTTTCATTATTTTTGTCGTCCCTAAAAATTACGAGAAAATTACTAAATATTCAAAAAATGTTACTTGGCATTTATAAAATATTTAATTATGAAGAGCGTACTTCATTAAGGAAATAAATATCTTCTTACAATATTGTAATTTAAGTCCAAAAATAACTTTTTGCAAAGTTTGAAAATTCAGTTTTCCATGAAGATCGGCCCTGCGCAATTTATACAAGCGTAGTCGGCTCTATCTGTGGATAAATTCAAAGAAAATATGAGCCATTTTTGAGAATATTTTTAAATTGTATTGAAGCTTCATGTAAGTGCCCTACAAAATCAATAATGTCTCTCAAATTCAAGGGGCCGCGACATCAACCAGATCGGTGTAGCATGTAGTATGCATGAAATTAAAAATTAAATTAATTACAGTAATTTTATATTCACGTATAAAATGAATTATGTAAATGAATAAACCTGAGAACAAAAGTAGTATTCAAGAATGCTGTAGGTAGCATAACAAATAGAGGAATGAATAGCAAATGCTTCTAGGGAAATCTTATGAAAGGAAATAAAATAAAACTATTGGCATCAATAGTAGTTTTTACAAAATATGCCAAGGCATAATTCAACGAAGAAAATGCTTTACAGAAATCATCTATGTTCGAAATCACATTCATTGCCACACGAATGAGGCACAGTAAAGCTGATATGGCTAATTACAATTACCAATTATTTTCTTCCTTAGTAGGGCTTAATAGAACTCTTGGTTTCCAAAAACGTTTATCTACAAAATAAAATTGCTTACAGAGATACCGATCTTCCTCACGAAATAATAGGGTCTGCTTTTCTTCAGGCTCTGACACTTCGAGAAAATAATGCTAATCAGTTTCTTCACAAATCTTCAATATTCGCACGATTATTCAAATAATATCTTAAGGATTATTATTAGATTATTACTCCCAGGGATGAACGGATGTTGTTCTATAATACTACGGTATACTTGCAGCTCTTTCTTCTCCAAAAAATATGACAACCGGCAATTTCGTATAAAATATCAAGGGGAACTTGCAACTCTTTGATATAACCAACATAACAGCAAGAAAGCATATTCGGAAAAAAATTACTAAGCATTGTTCCCTACGTCTCTTATTTTCAACATTGAGGAAGCTGCAGTAAATTAGTACAGATTCAATAGCATTAATATCAATTTGAAAAACAATCTAAAAGATATTTAGGAAACTCTTATATGTAATATCCATGGGCAAGTAAACGAGGATTGAAGAACTACCAACCTAAAACTACATTTCCATTACTCGACGTGACTGGTAGAAACTGTGTTGTGCTGTGTTGCAGGAAAGAGTTAATAGTGTAGTATTTGTTAGCTGTTATCGCTGTATTTGGTGCAACGAAGGCAATTCTTCTACTTCCAAGGTGAGTTTCATGAACTTGTAAAATTAATGTAACTCAATTTGTTGTTTCATTAGAGTAAAGTATGTATAATTTGTGAAGATGAATTTCATATTGAACATAGAGGTTATGTGGGAGTAGAATTATCTTCCAATATATTTTGTGAATATCAAATGAATAGATGTTATTTTCACGCTTCTCTGAAAGTGATTCATACGTTATTTTTGTTTAATAATAATCCAATGAGGTATTGACAAAATTTATTGTTAATTCATCCATATCAATCGGTTATTATTTTTGTTTACAGATGTTTTTGACGCGTTCGGAATATGACAGAGGTGTGAACACGTTCTCTCCAGAAGGACGTTTATTTCAGGTAAATTTTGATGCTTACTTTATGTATCCCATAGAATGTGTTTCTCATGTAATAGTTTTTATTTGAGTCTCTAAAAAAAATTTATGACTTATATTTTTCAGGTTGAATATGCAATTGAAGCAATTAAATTAGGTTCTACTGCAATAGGCATTTGCACATCTGAAGGAGTAGTTTTAGCAGTAGAAAAGCGCATTACATCTCCGCTAATGGAGCCTACAACAATAGAAAAAATTGTTGAAGTAGACAAGCATATTGGTTAGTCAGTTCGTTACTTTTGATAATATTTGTTGTAGTGTTTGAAATTATTCTAATGTGCATGTCATTGAATGTTCCTTTAATCAGGATGTGCGGTGAGTGGATTAATGGCAGATTCCCGCACAATGTTGGACAGAGCAAGAGTAGAATGTCAGAACCATTGGTTCGTCTACAATGAACGCATGGCTGTGGAGAGTGTTGCCCAAGCTGTATCAAATCTTGCCATCCAATTTGGTGACTCAGATGATGATGGAGGAGCAATGGTAAGTGCAGTTTTGTTGTAAAATGTTCCATTGCAAAAGAATTAAGAGTTTAAGTTATGTAACATAATTGTCATTCTTTTTATAATGTTGAAAATTATATGTACTGTAAAAGAAATGTCAATAACTTCAATTTTTGCCTCTGAATGTATTTAAATGATGTTCCACACGTGTAGAATGGTATTGAATGTTGTTTGCATTAATCACAATGTTGGAAATGCATTGTTTGGTTCCAAATCTTTTACTGAAACACTACTCTTTTTTATCGGAATATGAAAATATTTTAACTGAAGAGAATTCACTCATGTGGCGGTACTTGAACAACAATGTACTTGTAGTTAGTACCCCCAAAAAAAGCTCTGTGTGCCACCCTCTACCTCCACCTCTAAGTGCGCTACTAAGTGCACTCTTTTTCTTGCTTTGCTCACATGATATGCTCTGTTGCTTGCTACATGAGTATATTATTATCACTATAGAAACAACATGTCATAATGATATATATTATATATATGATTTTCCTTGGGAGTGAAAACATTTTCAGTGTTGGACGGGTTTCTGTCATAATTCAGGTTTTATTTTGAATAGGTTTTCCTGTTGTTGTTATTAATATAACTTAATTTAATTTATTAATAACTGATTTTAATCGATTACAGTGACTTTTCTTAATGTTGTTGGTAAGAACGTACATATCACAGCAACTCACATGCTGGTTAAGAATTTTTGTTATTGATATACTGTAAAAAATTCTAAGAGGTCAAACGGTATGCTAGTAAGATGTCATTTGATAGAGTTGATGAAGTGATAAAGTTCTTATTTCTCGCATTAGCACTTAGCCCTCTTGCTGTATTGTTGATCAATTTCATTTTAACTTCTCCATTTTCCCTTGATCTTTTGCATCCTCTCAAAGAAGCTTTTGTGAACATTCTGGTCATGATTTCAATATACACTGGCAAATTCACTGGCATGAATAGGTGAAAAGGTGGCTCAGGGCATCAGCTGATGTCACTGCAGTGTCTTTGCTGGAAGGTAATAGGGTTTGAATCCCAGCAGTGACAGGATTTTTGATACTAGCTTTCCAGTTATTCTTCAATTTATTTACAAAGTCTGTTGATGTTTGACCACTTGTTATATTGTCATCCAAGCTCCGGATTGGATGGCACCTTAACAGCACTTTTATGTCAATAGATTATGTTCAAATCAAAGTGTATGTCAAGTTGATCCACTGTCAGGGAGAGAATTCTAGTCACCAGCTGCTCTAATTAGTTCTCTTCCGTGGTTTCTTTGATCAATACCATGCAAATGCCAAGCAGGGGCCAACAAACGGGGCATGCTCGAACTTTCCTTGCTCTTCCTTGTCCAGTCCTCTTTTTAACACTTACTCACACTACATTACTACACATGTCAGAGCTTGTCCTGGCTGGGGTGGTGATACCTGGCTGTGAAAAATCCCTGTAATTCGGTGTAGGATGGTGCTAGATCTTGCCAGTCAGTGGGGGAAGATCACTTCCACCTTCCACAAAAAACATGCTCTACATTTACAGGTCTAATGACCTTAGCTGTTGATGCACCAGAATCTCTAATCAATCAATAATTAATGAAACTGAACTAGATCAGTAGGAATCTGTAAACAAACTGCTCTGTGAAATTAGTTTCAGGATTGTTGAAAAATATGAACACTATTATCTGTCAATAATTTTAGCTAAATTAGATTTGTATTTGTAGTTTTTATGAATTATCTCTCTTGTGTTTGTATTCTATTGTAAGAATTTATATAGTATTTTTTAGTTCATTTAATATCTCACATTGTTTATTTTGTAGAGTCGACCTTTTGGTGTAGCGATTCTGTTTGCTGGCTGTGATGAAAAAGGACCTCAACTTTTCCATATGGATCCATCAGGAACTTTTGTACAATTTGAAGCAAAAGCAATTGGGTCAGGAAGTGAAGGAGCTCAGCAGAGTCTTCAGGAAATGTATCACAAGGTAGTGATTTCGAAAGAACAATTCCATCATCATCAGTATCTTTTGTAAGATTGCAGAATATCTCAATTAAGAACAAGTACTTTGAAATTTAAACTTTAAATTTCACCAAACATACATTTTGTGAAATATAGTCATGAGAAAAGAGAATATCCAGGTAAGAGGCTGTCCATAAATTATGTAACACCTAACCCAGAGAGGGGGTTTGGGGCACCGATATGCTGTGTTACATAGGGGTAGGTGGCATTAGTTTTGTGAGATGTAAAAACTTTTTTTTTTCCTTCAACATTTGCTGAAATAATATCTTTTTTCAGCCTGTTACTAAAACATTTAAATATTAACTAATTGTTTTTTAAATTACATAAATTGGGCAAATTGTAACAAATAATGGAAATTTTTTCATGATTTTTTGATAGAATCGGTAAGATTTCAAAGAAAATATTCAAAACAGATCCATATTCTAGAATCCAATGAAATTGGTGCAGTAATCTCTCCCCATGGAACATCCATGAGGGCATGTGAACTTTACATGTTGACAAACCTTTTCACATCAAAGCATTCTTTTACTAAAAATTGTTCCTAATCTTATATTTAAGTGTAGACAACTAATTCTGGCTTTAATTACACAAATTTCACTACACAACACAAATAATATTAATAGAAACTGTTTTATTGTAATATTATTTATTTTGACTTCTTGTAAACAGGCAGGGAGGGGTGTTGTCATGAGCATTATATAATAATTTAGGAAGGGGGTTTAAGCCCATGTTACTGTTTTTGCAGTGGGGGGTATATAAAATTTTCAGAATCAACATTACGTAATTTATGGAAAGCTCCTAAACAGATTTTCCCAGAGTTTTTAAATTAGTAGAACTTACCCCAAAGAAGCATTTTACTGAAGTGGCAATAACGACTACTTGTTACGTATCTAATGTTTGTTTTACTCTTGCAGTCCATGACTTTGAAAGAAGCTCTGACTACAGCTCTCACCATCCTGAAACAAGTAATGGAAGAGAAGCTGAGTTCTACCAATGTGGAAGTAATGACTATGACGCCAGAAAAAATGTTCCATATGTTCTCACGTGAGGAAGTTGAAGAGGTGATTTCGCAGATTGTTTAACATGCTTTGTTCTTATTAACATGATTGAATGCTTTTACTCGGCTCGTAAACTTTTCAGTGTTTCAATAATTGCTGTAAATCATGAACACATTCTTGTTTGTTCTTCTGCATATGTTGTTTCCAAAATTGGTTACAGGCTTGCATTTGTAATAAAGCTCTCTGCATGGGGGTTAATTCTTGTTTCTCATAATTTATTGGTGAAGGGTAGCTTATCCTAGAGAATAGAAGTGTAACAAATTAATGCATTATTATTCAAATTCACAGAATCTAATTGAGTACACTTTTTTTCTTACTTTCTCTCTTTCATGCCAATAATTACAAATGGCCAACTAAATGCATGTTCTTAATAATCCATAGTAAATGTGCTGATTTTTGTTATTGCGGCTTAAACTTATATTTTCAGAAAAAACATAATTTTGAGCATTTTGTAGTTCAAGTGCCAAACCAAAAATTGTATTTGGTGTTGGAACTTTGTGTGTAAGTTGACATTAGTGCATGAAATGGCTTTAATTGTTTTCCAATGGTACCATTTAATGTCACTGAGTGTATTGTTATTATGTGTTCATGAGTGTATGTAAGCTGCATTTTATCTTCGTTATTGTTAAAGTGTAAGTTAACATATGTTGTTGTGGATTGATATTATATCAGAATGCTTCAGTTTCTGTAATTTTACTATACTCAAACATATATTGAGATCAAAAATTACAGAAATAGGGTTTACAAATTGCAATTTGTATTGATCTTATGTTGGGCTTTGTTCCATGAAATGTATATTTATGTGTATGCAATAATTTTACTCAACACACTTTCTTACATAGATGTGTAGAATGTGCAAAAATGACAACCACAAAGTACTTCAAGTTGTTTTGTATACAACAAAATGCTGCTATGTTAAGTTTATGAAATTATAAGGTTAGAGTAAATGTGTAACCCATGTTCTGGCCATTTGTGAATTTTTGTAACAAGCTTTTTTCCAACATATTGTTTAGTTCGCAGTACTACAAGATTTACATGAATTATTTTTGCCATTAAGAATTGATAATCTGGGAAAAGCTACCTTTATCCACTATTACGTCCCATTCCCCCTGTCATTCGCAATATTTTCCATTATTGATGTAATTTGTGCTTTCTGTTGGTTGCAATGCATGGATTGGGGTAAGTGTAATTATGTATGTGGGAAGGTTGTAACGTGAATTAAATCCTCAATCAACATTCAGTGAATACAACAATAAACTTCCAGGATTATCAGGCTGTCATACCAGAGAAAGAATTCAAATATATTGGTATTTGTGTAAGTCCTAGTATTGATTTGTTGATTTCAGGGCATCCTAACAGATTCTTTTTATTTGTTATCATAGCATGATTCCTATAGTATTCAGTCCTAGACTTTCCTGAACTGAAAATAATAATTAGACATTTTCTATAAACGTCACTGATCTATGAAGTGTTGAATTATGTTAGTTTCAAGGATGGTATCAGTAATTTCAGTATATTGAAGAAAGGGATAGTTGTAGGTTTTTGAAAGCGAATTAAGAAAAAATAATCAAAATGTATCAAGAAAACAGTTTTGAAATATGTCTTAGAAGTGGTAAAGCTACTAATGCATTTTCATTACAATCTCATAAAATTAGCATTTCTGTGCAGTGTTAAGTATGCATGAATTATATTTTTCTGAAGACATGAACAAATTTTTGTTGCGGTGCAAACGATTTTCTGAAGACCTCACTATCAATCTTTAGTTTGTTCTAGATGCCTGCCCATAGTCTTCAGTTACACAATTATTGGAAGAGATTGCGCAATGTTTTGATGAAACTACAGAGACTAGTTAAACCACTAGGCTAGAATATCAGATTTCAATGTCATTTTTTACAATTGTACAAAGAAATGTTTATATTTTGTGAGTGAAATTATTATTTTTTGCATGATCTTGATTTTTTTGCCCTGGCTTATCAGTCTGCAAAAACCTCAATCTTGATCATGATGAACAAAAAAAGCAATTAACATTTCTTCCATTTAATAGAAAAATAACTATTTACAAAGTTTATATTTCAGACGAGTATTGTTTTAAGTGGAAGCTCATTTTGTTTTTACTATTAAATATCAAAAATTTGATTCCACATATATAATAGACTTTTCACCTAACTTCAACTTTTCCATTGTGTTGCATACAATCGAGAAATACCCTAACAAAGTGAGATATTATCGAACCTGTAATACTGAAAGAACAAAAACAAAGAGTAATTAAGTTAGAAATGTGTAGAAAACCTATCAAAACGTATGAAAAAAAAATTGTTTTTGAAAACAAGTTGGTCATTAAATTATTGTCTAAATGGGGCTCCACACATTCAGCATTCGCCAAGCAGCAAGCTACTGCTCACCCAATCCTGAACAGCTGATGTTTGGCGAATGCTCGCTTCCTTTGATGTGTCCTAAAGACTGACACGCGGTGGATAGAGCGAATAGTAAATGTTCAGCGAATAGCGAGCAACCTGTCCTAACTACTTGGGATTTGCCGAAAGCCGCATGTGTGGAGTCGCTTTACGAGAAAACTTATTCTAAAAATGTCATAGAAGAATTCTACCTTTCAAATTTGGTATTGTTACTGATGAAGCTAACGTCTTTTTAATCTCACAGTACTCTTAAAGATTATATGTGTATGTTTTTAGATTCTTGGAACTTTGGCCCCTATCTCAAAGGAAGACTCATTGGCAGGAGGAGTATCAACAGCACGAGAGGGAGTATCAGCTTAGCTGGTTCATCAAACTTTTACTGGAGAGTGGGCTGCTACTACTCTTAATTCATATTTGTGTTTTCGTATTACTACTTCATTTCAATAAAAAGCTTTCAATTATTTGGGTGTTTTTTTTCTCAAATTTCCCACATGTTTAAATTTTCCAACTCCACTAAACATTTAAACTGAAAACTATATTAGCAATAAGAAAGGGGTAAAACTCTTCCAATTGGTTTATAGTGTTAATTTTTTACTCATCAACTTTTATACTTACTTAGAATGATAAACACTGCTTTTGGTGAGATCCCCTTTGCAGTAATAGAATAATTCATATATTTTTAGTGCAAAATTATGAAGTGTCAAAACTGACAATTTGAGAGAGCAAGAAAGAATCCACAAAAAGTGGTAATAAAAAGCAAGTAAAGAATATTTGTTGATTCCCTGTTACGACTTCATAGAAATCAATTGTCATTGAATTATTTGTCTAAGAGGAAACATAACTATAAAGAAATTTACAGTTTTTTGGGGACTGTTAGTTTACCCTTGCTTCTAATCTGCCAAGACGACAAACAGATTCATAGGCCTGTGATCTAAATGTAATATGGGATGAGTAAATGAAATAGGTGATAAGGTGGTGTGTAACACGGAACATAAATAAATATTCACATTGATCAGAAATGTAATATCGCCTCCAGTTACAATGAATCTTTGGGGAGTAGAGGTTTGGTTTACTATCTCATAATCCCAAAATAGAATGCAGTTTTTTATTTATGATTGATTTTATTATTTCTTGGCCACAAATTTTAGATTGCAATGCTATCATGTTCTCTTCACACTTAATTCTACATTGTCCACACACATCTCACTTATACAATCTCTTTTAGTATTGGAGCACTTTCTTCACGTTTGTAACTTCCCCTTTATATTGCAGTATTCCCTCTATGGTCATCGCACTAGTCATCTGTTCTAGAAGAGCCTTTCATCATATTTCTAAAATTTGAATTATCAGTTTCCATGAAATACTTTTGAGGTTCCATTTATTTTGCAGTTGTATAAAAATTACAGTAAGAAGTGAAGTCCTAAATTACCTTCTAACTGATGTCAAGAAAATAGGTTGATCAGGTTTTTTGTTCAGTTTCCCTGGTCCCTGGAGCAAATGCTAAAACGGCCCTGTGTTTCACTTCTGGACAGTAATGTAACTTCGCTCTCTCCACCCAAGACATCATATGGATTCATCATACCCGATTGTAATTGTATATATGACTCAATGAATATTATTGTTATTAATATAAAATTTTTTTATTAAGTAACATTCCTATTGAAGTTAATTATTAATTACGTAAATTGAAAATATTATGTCATTTAGACCACAAGGTATCGTGATTACAGAGATGGTGGGGGGATTGAAGATTTGTAGGAAATGTCATTTCTAATCATTAAACTATTCTACTCAAATAGTTTCTATTTTCCTTATTTATTTGGTGAGAAAAAAATTGCTTATTGGATGTTTTATGAAAGATAAGTAATTTGAAATTAAATGCCTTGTATACTTCCAGTAAATGTTCAATATAACAGTGAAAATTATTGTGATTAGCAAAGCAATTCACTGGCCTGCATTCCATATTCCTATTTGTGCATTTCTTGCTTTTATTAACAAACTCTAATTGTAATGTTTCCATTATAGGAAACCAACAATAGGTATTGATTCCACAACGATATTCCTCCAAAGACTTCTGAATAATTCCATGACGAAGTTATTAGAAATAATAATTAACATTGACAATGAAGTCTATCACTAAAACTTGTTCAATCCATTGACGGAATGATCTTTGGGTGTTAACAGAAGGTCAGCTTTCTCCCGACTCATTTTGGTTGCATTTCAATGAGAACTTTTTGCAGCAAAATGCCATCTTCGGACAGATATCTAAACATATATGATGTCTGTGAGATTTTGTTTTCAAATTTTCGAACAGATTTATTAGAGTGTTCTTTATTTCTTCCCAAGTGTTCCAATCACTTCTGTCAACGCTTTTTAACTTCCTTAGTTATATTTGTTATCTTCAGTCTTTTCCTTATGGCAATTTACTGATCATCCAGCAAAGGAGATGTGTCTTGGGTTATCTCTCAGTTTCAGGATCCAGGTTTCTGAGCAGTAGCATTAGCATGGCTGACATATTGTTAATTTTAAATTTAGATACCTACTTCCAAAATGTATTTTGATTCTTTGCTTTTTATGTAGTATTTTTAAATGTTCTTATATAGATATTGAAAATTTGGTCTAATGTTTTACCCTGAATATTGAAATTTTGAAACTTTTTCTGTTAGATGTCTCTCACCAACAGTCTGTACTCATCTTCACTCCTTTCCTTCGAAGGCCATATCTTTGGTTTTCTGTATGGAGATTTCCATGTCATATGTCTTTAAATTTTGTTTAATTCAAGGGTTGCATCAGATGTTCTGACTTGGCATTGGTTTGCATTAGATTGATTGCCAGAATTATTTGGACAACTCCAAACAAGATTATTTATCGTGTTTGTTTTTTGTTGAGATGTACTCTTTGTTTTGTCAACTTATATGGCGATTAGCACATACATTATAATGGCGAGAAGAAAGGTTATATCCTATTCTCAGTCCTCTATAATGAGTTTGTGTTGTGTGTTTAGATTCCTTTTATAATGTATCATGTACCTCCTTTTTCCATATTTCCCACATTATAGTCTTGTCCACAATGCCCTAAGTATTGGCAAAATATTTTTAAATAACATTAATTCAATCATGTATCTTTCATTTCTCTTGTCTAATATTACACTGAGAAGAAAGTATTGTTTGTGCTTTTAACCTTCCCAAAGCCACATTTTTCTTATATGAAGTTCTAACTGTGTTTATACATTCTATTCTGAATTATGTTGGAAAATAATTAGTCTTATTCAATGTTCAATTTATTTTTATTATCGTAACTCATAAATATATACTGCAGTTTCAATTTGTGATTTGGCACATTTATTAAAATAGTCTATGAAATTACAATGTGCATCTACATCAAACATAATTCATATGACAGAAATAGTTGCTTGAAATATGTTTCTATGATAGTACATAGGAATATATCCTTTTAGCCTATCTTAATCTCTCTGTATACATACAAATACATACGTAAACAATCATATACCCCGCAAGTCAATGATATACAGGGTTTCAAACCCTGTATATCCCAAGTGTAGTGGAGTGTGGTGGTGGGTTTTGCAGTGTAGTGCAGCGCAGCAAGACGTAGCAGAAGTGAATAGAGTAAATGAAATAAAATTTAAGATTAGAGTTAGATACAATAGAATACGATAGAATATAATTAGATGGTATTAATTAGCTGTAAGTATATTTTTGGAGTGTACAAATGTATGTGTGTGTATATATGTGTATACGCATGTGTACATGTGTATATGCATATGCGTATATATGTGTATATGAATATATATGTATGTGTGTGTGTCTGTGTACGTACTTGTGCTTGGTGCTTGTGTGTTTGGTGTGTGCACAGAGAGTCTGAGTTTCACATGTGTATGCGTGAAATGAAGGCTTTCTTGCTATGCTGGGGTATACACGGTTCTAGGTAATACATTATATTTACTATTACTTCATTTGTTCAATTTTCAAAGTGTTTTTTGTATTTATTATGAAATATTTAACTGTCACTTTATTTTCATTTGAATGGTGTAATCTAATTGGCTTACTACCTGGCAAAGACGGCCAATTGTGGCCAAAATAAATATATTATATGTATAATATTATTATATTATATTTATAATATAATTATATTATATTATATATTATTATTATATATTATATTATATACCCAAACCACTACTTTGCAGTGTCCCCACAGCCATTCTATTCATCTGATTTATGAGATTTGCGCATGGAATGATGGATCTATCCTGCAGCTTCTATTTGCAAAAAGGCAAAAGAGAGTGACTTATGGGGTATTAAAAAACAGCCAATTCAATAAAAAAACACAATTTCAGAAAAGTTTGATACAAAAATAGAACATTTCTTATTATCAAATACATGAAATTCAAATAATGGTAATTTAAAAGGTTACTTTTACATTTATTTTAAGATACAAACTCTTTAGAACATTGAAATTTTCAATTTTTGCATTTTTCAGAATCTTGTCAAAAGTAGACTCCTAATTTTTATGCTTCAGAGAGTACATTATATCATTATGAAGGATGCATTCATGACATTATACATGAACAATTAGATGTAGTGAATATATATTGCCATTATTTAAAACTGAATTTTGAAGAAAAGATTTCATTAAATAATCTCAATCTTAAATAATGTAAATGCAGGAGGACATTAAAAAAAATTTAACTTTTGCAATTTTCAAAATTTCAAAAATTTGAATGAAAATCATGTGTGTTACTGTGATGTTATTAGTGTACTTTATTCTATTGGATAAAAGGAAAATTGAATAACGAAATTTGTACTGTTTTTGTGAAAATTCTGAAAATGGTAAAACTTTCATGTAAAGTACCCCTGAAAATTCAAATATCCATTTCAAATTTAAGGGGATGTGACAGCAGTCAGAATGATTAAGGAACATCCGTTTTTTGTAAAAATCATATCTGTGGTTTAGTGCAGAGATTGCCATTTTCTTTTATTAACCCATTTTAAATATATTGTTTGCTTAATTTTTTAACATTTTTCTTCATAATACAAGCATATATAACCATGACAGAAGAAATTCATGTAAAGATAATTTCATACATCAATATTTTCGTATATATCTTAATTTTCTTTAATCAAAGGTGATTGCACTTCTGAGTAGCTGAGTTTCTAATCTTCATATATTTGCATTTGTTACTAAATTTTAAGCATTTGTTTTTAGAACAGGCCATAACGTTTTCTCAGTTCTTATTGCAGACAACATTTTCTTGCATGTGAAAAAGTCACTTTGTGAATACATAGTTACCAAAAGGAAACAAAACAGCAAAAAGACAAAAAGTATACAAAATATACAATTAAAAGCTCTAAAAATTGAAAAATGCTAAAAAATGAAAAGAAAACAAACACCCTGACACAATAACTATTCATTTCTATCACCTACATGTCATGATATACATTCATTTTCAAGTTAGCAACACCTACAATGCAAGAGAATCTGAGAAGAAAAGAAGATATGTCATCAGAATCCGAGCCCTGCTTGTAAGGTAGGACTCTATGAAAATAATCAAATGACCTGGATATTGTGTTGTTTGTGGACGGTCACTGTGAAAATTGTATTATTTGATCATTAAATACTATTCCTTAAAACTATTATTTAAAATATATTTCCAAAACATATTCTACCCTGAACATTATAATTTTTGTTATGTGTTGAAATAAAATAGATCATACCGTTTCTTAAGATAACTTTCATATTTTTTTATTTCTTCGGAGAAGGGGGGTTCCGGGCCTAAAATTGTCTAGCTCTGGCACTGACAATGAGATAGCTCTTTCTGCAGCATTGTAGCTAGTGTTGGGCAGCAAATGTCGGCCGTCAAAACACCGGGCTTCTTGTGACTGAGTGGGATATTTTTGCGGCAAGATACACGCGAGTGTACGTTATTCCCAAGTCACAGTCGTTTTTGTTTTGTGGAATTACCAATGTTTCGCGCATATAGATATGAATGTTGCCGCGCGGGTTGCGTTTGAAAACATAGACTCCCCAAAGTTCTTTGATTCGTGTTAGCTCCTTGACACATCAATAATTTAAGAATAAATTTATCAGCATGGCTGGCAAAACATCTAAACAAGATATTACATAACACGATTTCTTTTTTAGAGAAACTTTATATATAATTTCCTAAATCGAAGTATTATTTTATAATTCGAGAAAAAAATTGTTTGGAGAAAGAAATACAAAAACATTTTAATGAACAGAAAGTTGTAGTAAATTAAAAATATATCTTAGCAGGAATATATTTCGGTAATCTAAACGATATTTCCATTTGTGTATTTCGTAAATCTGGATCGTGCACTCTACCTCTCATGGCGTTCATGTCTGTATCCAGCCACATTTATCTATTAATTTTTATCCATTAATCCATTGTATTTGGGGCGCGGTAGATCACCCCAATTTTTGAAATTCCATGGGGTGGCACAAAGGTGCCAGATGATTCATGGGAACGAAGGAGGTCGGATGAGGTCAACCATACTCCTTATCGTCCGAAGATAACTTCAAAGAAGGAATTGATTCATATTTCATAACTGGAACAAGGAATCTGTGGTCTTGACCAAAAACAAACGCGTTGGTGTGCTTGTGACATGTACATGCACGCATAGAAACTTCCAAACTTTGCAATGTACAATTAATTGTTTGCGATATCACGTATGAAACTGTGCGTATTATATAAATTACAATGCCGATAAAGGTCTTGTTCTGCCAGTTGGAAATATGCCGAGGAGAGGGATAGATGTGTCTGAATATTTGTATGATGTCGATAAGTGGCAAACAAAAAAAGGAAAAAGAAGTTGGAACTAAACACACTGGTCCGACCGCACAAGGGTGGCGTTCAACTTAGGTGTTAAAAAATCTGGGGGAGACTTAATATGTTATTTGCTCCACTTGCTTTATGTTTTTTTTGTTATTTTTTTACTGAAGTTCAGTTGGTTCTAAAAAATAATATTGAACTCCTAAATATTCTAACGACAGCCCGGTTGAAAATGTCTCCATAAATACTGGTCCATGCCAATATCACTGATCCACGTAACTATTACAGTCCATAAAATGAAATATCAAGTACTTGTGGCTTATCCACAAACATCTTGTGAATTACTCTGACAGTTATTCTTGTCACATATATGACCTACCGGCAATCCAATAAATTACGCAGAAACGAACAAGATAGCGAACTGAACTACGTGTACGAGGCAAAGGAATTTTGGTGTAACATTTGTCTATTATTGTCATCTCATTTTCAATATTTGTTATTATTATTATCAATATTATTGCTGCTGATATTATTTTTACCAAAATGCAAGGGAGACGGTTTGTAATTTTATAGACTTTCTAATATTTCAAACATCCGAAAGATCATAATTCTGATAAAACTCTCTAAACAAACACAACAAACGCCCCCGCCAGTCCGCTTTCGGAGAAGACACCGCGAAGCCTCGCGCTCGAGCCGACAGGCAAGTGCTGCGCCCTGTCGGCCGAGGCTCCAATTGGAGGCGGAATGCCCCCCGCCCCGCCCCCACGTGCCCCCCCTCCCCCGCCCCCCCGCCCGCCGCGGGGCTCTCGACGAGCGGCGCCTCCCTCCGCGCCGCCCCGCGCACCTCCACCACCACCGTGGCCGCCCGCACCTGTCACGAGCGCGCGAGCCTTCGCCAAGTCGAGCCGCTGGCCCCCCGCCGCGGTCCGTTGCCCGCCGCCATCGTTGTGGCGGTCCCCGCCTCCGCGCGCCACGCCCGCCGCCGTCGTCGGGGCTCCGCGAGTGCACCCGCCACCCTCCCCCCAGGGGTTGATCATGCGCGCCGGCGCACACGCGCTCCCGCCCGCCGCCGCACCCCCGCCCGCGAAGTGATCGCCCGCGTGCCCGTCACCGCCCTCGCCAGCACCGCCGCCGCCACCACCAGCGCCGCCATGGGGTCCAAGGTGGAGTATGTGGAGTCGTCGCACATGTACGCCACCAACTACGTGCGTAACTCCAAGGCCATCGGCGTGCTGTGGGGCGTGTTTTCCATCTGCTACGCCATCATCGTGGCGGTGGCGTTCGCGACCCCGGAGTGGCTGGGCGACCCCGCCGCCGTCGCCTCCGACCACTCCGCCCGCTTCGGCCTGTTCGCGCGCTGCTACTACAGGTGAGCGACCCGCCGCCGCCCCGGGCCTTCGACACACGCATTATCCAAAGTGGCCCCACCCCCTGTGCGGCCCCCTTCCTCAGTGACGATTGTGCGTGCTATGCGGCGCTTAACAAAGAAGCGCGGGTCCAGGAACTGCTTCGAGGGGTGGCACATGGAAGGCTACACGTGCCTTTTTACTAAAAAACTTCGTTTTCATTCATTGTAAATGTTCTCCTGTAATAAACAAATATTCAAAAAACAATATTAGGTAATTAATTTGTTTTATTGCGTATTCGTATTTAATGCAAATAGTAGACAATGAAACGTACGTATTAAAATATTTATAGGTCGAAGGAGATGGCACATGCCCCCAAGTCCACCCCTTGGACCACCCCTGACCAGATCCACCCTTGTCCAAGAATTCAATTTAATCATATTGTTCAAAGTCGCTTCTTGGAGCTCTGTTATCATGTTACGGAAACAAAGATAAAACGTAGGAATATTAGAAAAAGTTTTGTATTTAGGGGGGAAGTATTTTGTAGACATAAGAATCGTTTATCTTTAGTTTGTGTCTCGCACTATCGGTTATTGTACACCAAATAATAGAGAGGGAAAGAGCAATTCGATATATTTTGAATCTTATATTATCAGCACTGGCATTTTATGGCTTTCAAAATTTGTTTTCCCACGCAGTTAGGACTTTCCTAATAAGATGAAATGAGATGAGATAATATTACACAAGGAGGTGAATGTATTTTATTCTATTTATCCTCACAATTTGACAACTGAACAACCTTCATCTGTTTTGCACGCTTCCGTCTCTTCTCCAGAGCAGAAGTACGAATGTTACTGTCCTATTCTCCTCAATCGTACATGTTTCCTACATAGTTCGTACGCTCCTGCTATCGTAAGAAAATAAGGCTTCAATGAACAGGTAGGGCTTCGTGAAGTGAACGCACGACTAGCTCGCCCACTCAACAGCTGCACCCACCGGCCAGATGGGCTCACCTGAAAAGGGAGACTTCAATGAGCAAGCTCGCTATTGTGCTCTGAGCACCCATGCTTACGTAGTTCGGGATTTTTTTTCCTCTGAGCAACCACATTCAGATTTACCCACGTAGCTAAACGATACAAAAATTACAAAAATAATGATACACAGATTAACGGGATTTGATCACGAAAGTTAATAGATTCGGTGAGTCAACAAAACGATGTGGTTGTCACAATCAACATATGACTGTAGTAATACGTGTACGTCTGCAGGAAGTGACGCAACAATTTTCCAAATGCACATATTTATGATTTTTGTTTACGTTTACACGATCTGAACAATTTCTCAGCCGCTTTGTTAACAAAAGGGACTCAATAGCATTACGGTTGCAGTTTATTAGACAATGTGAATAGAAGATGCAATAAAACGTTATTGCGAGCAACGGGGTTTACTCATCGTTGATTGCAGGCAATTTCGCATTCCCACCATTTCCCTAGTTCCCTTTCATAAACGTTAATATAGGTCACAGATATTTTTAACCTATTCAAGACAGGTATCTTCCCTAAATAAGATTTTACTGCCGAACTTTACCTCTTAAAAGTAAAATTTTTAATAACAGGTAGATAGAATTTTTTAAAAAATGTGTATCACTGATAATTGAAAAAGGAAACTTGAGAATTTTCGTTTTAAGATTAACATAAGGATGTTTTCCTATCACGAGTGACTTAAACAAAATTAATTTGGAAGAAGAAATTTCGAGAAAATAAAAACCCCTCTGATCGATTTGTAGATGTTTAGGTGAAGTATAGTTATCATTCAGCCGTGTTGCTTCATTGGTAATGTTACATGTCTTGACCGTTCTGATGCAACCAGTGAAATGCAACTGTTATTGCAGAAAAAAAATTCTTTTTAGCTGTACACACTAAAAAACGAGTTTTGAAAACACAGTTGTGAAATTTCTTAACAAATATTCTGCAATACTGCTTCCACATTTGCCGTTAGTCGTGCGCTATTGTTCACTTAAACTGGCAATTAATTTGCAAAGGAACGAGTGTAGGTAGACTAATGAGCGAGCAAATGTCAGGGCCCTCGAAACGTGCGCGTTCGTGCCAGAATGTAGCTGGCGGCTGAGCGAAAGTCAAACTAGAAAGAACGGCATGAAGTTAAAGAACTTCGAAAAACATTTTTCTACTCCTTTTCACCAATATCACCGATCACGTGACTTGCGAATTCGTTTTTTAAATACTTTTTTAAAATGCATAATCCTACATAATTTTGAGAACCACAAGTCTAAAATTATTCTTGCGCTTGCCTTTCTATTAATTCGCGCTTGCCTTTCTCTAAATTAGTTTCTTCGGCAAACTTCCTACTTCTAAATTGAAATAGAGAATTTAACATAGCCCAGCAAAAGGCAACATGTCATGGAACTGTGATGCTCGTTCACACTCTCACGGACCACGTGCCTTTCCGCCTACGTCACTGGTTAGTCATGCACGGACCCACCAATGTCCTCGCTTTCCAACCGGATGCGTTACAAAATATAACATCTTTGATGTTCAAATGAAATGAACTGAACCTTGAACGTGAAAAAAATTAGTGTATTATGTGTATGTTAAATTAGTGTACGAACAAATATGACTGTTGTCTTGCAAATTAATAAACCACAAGGATACATTTATAACTTGGATTTATAATATTTTTATTTTGTTTTCTTGAAAAATGAAAAGGAAACAAATCTTCCAGAATTATTGAAAAGAGAAAGCCGAAGTCTCAAATGTGTACGTCTCGGTATTCACAGACAAAATAGATTTTAATAATTGTCAGTGTATTTTCTGCAAGTAGTATTGTCATCATCACATACTTCAAGAAATTAAGTTTGTGATAAAGACACTGTCACTTGTACAAGAATTCCGGGAAATATTTAATTAAAGCATATATTCGTAACAAACTCGATGGAGCGTGAATAGAAAATAGTTTTTGAAGAATGGAAGTCTTCTAGGTTTAATTTCCGAAATGTTTGGAAAACATTTTTGTCAAAATCCATTATGTTTAAATCATGTCCATCATACTGTATTCTTACAGCGACTTAACAGGGGAATGAAAGCCACAACATAGAGTAATGATACATACCTTCTTAGTGTATGGCCACAGGGTTTGTTAAGAATTAGTCTGCCGTCCGTTAAAAACAATCGCAATCAATGAGTTATAGTTGAAGATGGCGTACGAATACTCTCTACTCCAAGAAAAGGATTTTTATTATTGGTATTACTCCTTCTTCTACGTAAGTGATATTATGAAAATTATTGAATAACACACGGTCGATGTTACAAATACGAAGTATACTTAGTTGGTTAGTTTCTTAATACCACATGTTAATAACTATAAGAAGTTTGCTTTTGTTCGTCGCGATGTTCATTGTTTTAATTTCCAACATTACATTGATTTTTACCAGACAAAAAGAAGCAAATTGTTTTTCTTCATTTGACAGTTTTAATCAAAGTGTTTTTTCTTTACTAACTTTTCACTACCATTCTACCTCAGTGGATGGATGAAATAAAGAATTCCTAAAAGTCATTTACATTAATTGAATTTGTTATTGCTCTTTAATACGCTGAAAGCTCAGCTGGTGACTTGTTTTTGAATAAAATTTCACTCTTTTGTCAGACTTTAATTTCCGTATTCCATCACACTCGGGTTTTCAGATTTCATCAGAAGCGAGCGAAGAAGAAACCTATTTGTAATGCATGCATTCGAAGGCTAAAGTTCGACGACGACATCAAATTTCCCTTTCCCAACATGAGTCAGATCTCATAACACGAATGCCTCAGAGACAGTTTCATCATGTGGATTGGAACGTTTGGATGCTGGCGTGAAACCAACTGCTTTTACTCAGCTACTCACAAGGAAGATGGTACCACATTTCTTTTTTTTTTACAGCATGTGTTTTACATCTCTTTTCGTCCGTTAAAAAATATTCTTATGCTCACCTACGAGAGTTACAGTTTCCTAAATGACAAGATAAGTCTCGACTTCCATGAAGTAATTTTGATTCAACAAGTAACCAAATATTATTTACACTGTAAGAATAAAAGCGGATAATACTCGTATATCTAGTAATGAGAGCCCGGAAGTTTGGCAAATACCTTTTTACAATGGTTACGATTTTATGATTTGTAACAATGTTAATCACTTAATCGTACTTCTAGAGTTGTTTTGGTAGATTTTCTTGTTTGTATATTTTTAGCTTCCGATGATTATTTTTGGCATTTTGCCTCATTTGTGCCTTTTTATTCCATATTTGTGGCATTTTCTGCCTTTTTCGTTATTATTTTCCCTTTTTCCCTGCTGACACCAATCCCTATCAGGCACGGTTATGTATTGTCTTTCTGTAGACGCGGAGGCTTCAGTGTCAGGTTGTGTTAAAAATCTAAAAGGGAAAGGAAGATGATACCTGTGAAGATTTTTGATATTTTTCATTGATGCCTTTAAACTTGGGTTCGTTCACGAGAAATCTAATCGTATGGTTTGTATGGCCTCGGATCCCTTTTGAGGACAGAGCTGTCTGTGCAGGATTATACCCTTCTCAGTACCTTCTAGTTCTCTCTTCCTTCTGGCGATTACACAAGTGCGAAGAACAAAATCTACACAATGATATCAGTTTTCACTGTTATCATTTCATGATTTGAAAAGGATTACATAATAACATTTCGTAGAGACAAGATCGCGAGTAAAATTAATTCGTAGTCGTCAACAGGACAGTGAAGAACGATCGAGATTACAAAGAAAAGATAGTTTCTTTCCACGTTAGTTCTAATGTAAATTTTAGTTAAAATAACACTGTTTATTAATTATTAATTTTTTACACTACTTTTAAATGGTACTTTTAAATGTGTTTTGTGTTTTGCCCCGCACTTTCGCCTGAACCAATGCCTTTTTTTTTGCATGCCTATTTCTGTAAAAATAAGTGCCTAAACTTCCGGGCTCTACTAATAATAGTGGGTTCATAGTTCTAATGTATTGTTTTTCT